AGAGTGTAGATTTAGACCAGATGTAAGGCAGAAATTTTTTGCAATGAGGGTGGTGAAACACTGGCACAAGGTTGCCCGGAGAGGTGGTAGATGCCCCATCCCTGGGAACATTCAAGGTCAGGCTGGATGGACCTCTGAGCAACCTGATCTAGTTGAAGATCTCCCTGCTCATTGCAGGGGGATTGGGATGGATGATCTTTAGAGGTCCCTTCCAACCCAAAGATTGTATGATTCTATGATATTCAGTAAACTAGCCAGGAGAGCTTTAAAGTTTAGTTAATTAGCTGTTACAGAGTCATTTATCATCTGATCTTTAAAGCCTGAACATAAAAGCATTAGTAGACCCTATTTAATATTAACAAAGACAGAAAACCCCACCAACCCCATCAATTTTATATGTGTTCTTTGAAATCTTTTTCAAAGCTCAGGGCTAAGACTCAGTCTTTCCTAAAAAAATCTACTATGGAGAATTTGTAGTAGATGCATTGCCATTTCTTCTGCTTCTTTAGCTGCATAGCAGCAAAAAAGCTGCAAATAATGAACATTTTCTCCCCAAATAGAAGTATTTCTGGTTTACTTTTAAAGACCTGCAAAGGCTATTTAATTAAGCCACATATTAAATGCATAATTCAACATTATGCATTATCATTATTTATATCATAAATTTCAAAAACTATATGGATATTTTTCCTTTGCAAAACATTAAGGTCTACAGTTGAATAGCTATACGATAAATAATACTTCCTCTGTGTTCAAACACTTAGTGCAAGTACTAGACACAAACGGATCAATGGTAAGCTTAGCCTGCATGTACTTTATGTATAAAACCAGTGGTTTGTAATGTTTGATTTCATGTAAAGTGCCTTAAACCTGAAACACTCTATTAAGTCATTTGATAACTACCGATTCATCCAATATGCAGTTCTTTTTACTCCTGGAGCTCCTGTTCTAGTCCATCAACACTTCAGAACATAATCACTCAGATCTGCTATTCTGACATGGATGCTAGCTAAATAACCTAATTACAGATTCTTTAGATTCCTTCCCCCCCAAGTTACATGGCAAGCTTATGTAGAAAGTTCTGTACAGTTATGTGAAAATCCCTGCTTTGGAGTAAGTTTTAGTATACTAAAAAAATATTTACAACACAATGATTGCATTTTGTGTAATTCATAAAGAGTTGACTAGTCAAGACTTAATTTTTGGAATTATCAGCAATTGTTTATCCCTCAGAGTTTAATAACTGGGTGGTAAGTTTCAACTGCATCAAATGCATGGCTGAATAACAAGACAAAGTACCTTGCTGAGAATTATTTCAGGTGCCAGGTATTCTGGAGTCCCACATAACGTCCAAGTTCTTCCTTTTACTCTTTTTGCAAAGCCAAAGTCCGTGACCTGTCATCAGAAAAAAGGAATTGACTGTAAGTGCACTTCTACAAAGAAATTTAAATTTAAGTACTTTTGAAATATTTTGGAAAGCTATTTTACACCGTGGAAAAATTTTGTTTCTCAGATCACATAGTATCATATAGTCAGATGTAGTCAGTACCCAGTCCTTCTGATACTTCTATAGTCCTTCTATACTTCTTCAGATAGATAGAAGGTCTCTCGTGATAAAATTAATAAATAACACAAAATAGATATTTTCCCCCCTCACACAAGCTTCTATTTATAACTTAAAAAATCAGCAGGAACTATGGCTTACTAATCTTCCACATGTACTGAAATTACATTAATAATTTTTCTTAATACTTTTCACATCAGACTGTTTATATTGCTGTAAGCTTAAAGAACATCACTACGAACAGGATCTTTTCCTTTAGTTAACAAATAAACTAATCACAAAAAGGATCAAGTTATCTGCCAGTCTTGTAAATTTAGAAGTTTACTGCCTAAGTGTATAAAGGATATATGTGAAGTTAGTGTGGGAATAAAAAACATTAAAGAGGTCTTCCAGTAACTCCTGATTCTGAATATCTTTGACAGCATCATCAGTCAAGCTTGTTTATTTGAGGACTGGGGAGGGGAAATGCAGCAGTAACTGTTTTCACAAATGGCAAGCTCTTGGTCATTACAGAGTCTTTATTCCACTTGTCATGTTTTCTGCATTAAGTTTTTAGAACTTTGTATGCAATATCATGCTCTCCGTGATTATTCCCAGACCATATTGTGGAATACATATGGGAGCCAGGGAGTTACATGTGAAATTCTGGGATCAGTTTCAAGCTATCAAGTCTATGCTTGTTTTGGGATCTGTTTCTTTTGCTTCCTCCTCCTTGGTGTAATTTTCAACCTATTCCCCGAGAAAACATACTGTACCACAATGATAGTAATTGCTAATTACATAATAACCTGTGCCAATGTTTCTGATGCACTAGTGTCACAATTAAACAAGCCAAACTCCAACCTATCAAGGCAGCTTTGCTGCATTTTTGGTAGAAACAACAGCAATCACAGCTGGAACTGAGCAGAGAGGGTGATGTGCTGACTAGACAGACCTGCTTCAGTCAGCAAAGAATCATTTCTGTGTTTGTGAAAGCACATTTGTCTATGTAAGAAGAATACGCTGCAGAATGGGACAAATGGTAATTGCTTTAAAATTCAAAAACAAATGAACAGAGTTTCTAAACAAAATTTAGGCGGAGCTGCAGTATCAACATATGAACACAAACACCTCTCTGTTTAGAAGCAGAAGTGAACCAACCTCACATGGGAAGAGTGAGTGCTGGACCCATCATTTGCAGTTTGCCCACCATCACAAACACATAGTCACCAATTCTGGAGTAAGCCATTCATAGCGTTAAGTAATGGTGCTCCCCAACCACATTAATAGAACTTGTATTTCTCTTATCCCTACAGTGTTATTTTATTCTCCACGCAAAATTATTTTACAGTTAAACAACGTAACATATGAATCCTTTCCACTTCTCTCAAACATTTTAATTATTATTTTCCTGTTAGATTCTGCTATGGCAAAAGATGACACAATGAGGAAAGAAGAGCTTCTGTAGTTTAAGAACTGCAAAGCACTGCAGAATACTTGTTGCTATATACCGCCTTCCCATTTGCCATTTAGGTCAAAACCATAAGAGCTAAAAGGAAGATGAGAAGGTGCTGTGAGAGACTGTTGTAAATCCAAGGTCATCACTTACAGCACTGCAGTTCTGATCCGATCTCAACTCAGCTCTTACTCCAGATGTGCTGAGAAGGTTAGGACCCTCCAGAGGCAGGATTCATCTGACTGAAATTAAGTACTACACTGTCTATGTTGACACCCAAGATGGTTATCCTAAACTACTTGCATAGACAACACAGAGAACCAGACATTTTAAGGCACCTTTCATCTTGTTCTAGGGCGGACGCGTAAAATAGGTCAGATGAACATAGCCATGTAATCACCTACTTCTCACCACAGACCCCAAGGGAAATCTTGACAACTTGCTCAGCTGCAGACAGCTCCATTGTGCATACTTAATTTTAGTCAGAGGAAGTACAATCCAATGGTTTTACCATTACTAAGCAGTAGGACATTTATAATGTTCCCTGAATACATGCTAACATGTCAACCAGCTTCAGATCATTTATTCTAAATGCATCTGCTAGAATTACCTAACCCTACACTGTGAGACAAGACTCCAGTCCCTAAATACATGAAGAATATCATACCTGGATGTATCCTTGCTGATCAATTAAAAGATTTTCAGGCTTTAGATCTCTGTAGATGAGGTCTAATGAATGGAGGTACTCAAATGTTAGCACTATCTGAGCTGCATAAAACCGTGCATGAGGTTCACTGTGAAGAATTAAAAGAATATTAAGTATCCCAATGCTATGCTAAGATACCGAAACAACCATGTAACTGCCAGGGATAGACAAATTAATTATCTTTTAACTGGTTCTTTTACTGTGTAACACAGAAGAAAAAAAAAGATTTAAAAAGCAAGCATTTTAGAATTGATACACTTATTCCCTAAATTTAAGTCTTGCAGTTAAAATACACATGCAAATCAAGATGAACATATCCCACAATACATAGCTTAGACTTTAAATTTTACTTTTAGAAACTATCATCAATTTTGGTGACAATAGGCATAGGAATTCCAAGATTCTATCATGCATAAATAACTAGTTCCTGCACTAAGTAACTGAAAAATAAGAAATAATGACAAGTTTTTCATTGCCTGACTAGTTTAAGTCCACTGAAAGAGGTGTAATTTAAATGCACTTATCCTTAAGAATATTTTCTTCAATAGTAACAAATTTTAGGAAACCCTATTCCCAAATTAGCAACAAAAGCCTTTTTAAAGGAATTATGTCATTAATACTCTTACCTGAACCTTCCGATTCTTCTTAGATGTGAAAACATTTCACCACCAGGAACATACTCCATTACCATGTATAAATTAGAATTGTCCTAAGGAAGCAAGTAAACACACAGAAATACGTATTATTAGGCATGCTATAGTCTCTATAATGCCTGAAGTCCCCAACAGCCCCAGCCCCAAACCTCAAAACTGTAAAGATTGAAGTAGAACAAGTTTGTTCATTTTAAATGGTATTAAAAAAAGAAAAGAAAAAAGAAGGAAATATATAGAGGGCACACACCACTCTAAATTAGGAAAATAACCAATATCTTTCCAGACTGACTAGGATATATTCTCATGAAATCAGAAGCTAATCTCAAAGTTCTTTTCCTTCACAGTTAAGACTGCCATTAAGACCTGTCTCAGGTATAAATCTCAACCAAAAATCCACAGAACAATTACAAATTTACCATTCCATATATCAGTACAGAAATACATCCTTTGGTTTCTCTCAAAGACAGAATGATGCCTAAAAGCTCCCTGCTGTACAAAACCTAGTTTACCTCCGAAACAAGGGAAATCTAAGAGTTCTATTTCATTTTTATGTATTTATTTGGAGATATCCTTTCAATCTTCGTGTGCTGGATTGGGGTGTGTGCAAGCATGCACACAAGAGCAGGAACTCCTGCTCAAGGACCTGGCAACAGTGCCAAGTGAAGCATCTTTGAAAACAAGAATACTTAAACTATTGTACTATAAAAGTTAAATGTTTTAATACCTAAAGTTTGAGCACGTACTTCCCTGAAACCCAAACAACTACTTTCAAAATAATGATTACCTTAAAAGAATACTCCAGTTTTACAAGGAAAGGAAAGTTCACCGCTTGTAATATTCTCTTCTCATTCAGTGTGTGTTCTATTTGCTTCAGTTTGACGACCTAGGAGAGAAAAAATAATCTTCAGTTTAAGTATGATGTTTCATAGTTGTTGATAATTTTTTCAGTGTAAAACAATTAGCTGAAGGCAAGCTTGTAATTTTACAGATATTGAAAAACATTATGGATTACTAGTACAACAACAGCGCTGAGAAGGGATTAAAAAGTAACGACATTTTAAAGAGTAATACTCATGCAATACAGTTTGCAGATAATTCTAGAAATAGTGTTTCTTACTACATGCTGAGTATAGGAATCAGCAAGGAAAACATCTCTTTACGTTTTCTTAAGAATCACCTGCATTTGTAATGGAGATACTTTTGCAGCAAGATGATAATTCAATAAAATCCATTCGTTCTTTGGACCCTTAGCTAAGAAAGGCAGGAAATTGTGTCAGACACATTTAATTATGAATTTTGTTACATGTGAACAGGAGTAAACCGACTTATTTTATATAGCTTATACATTAGTAAGGAGAAGACTAAGGAGAATACAAATTCAAAATTTCCATCTTTATAAACAATAGTTACTTCTGACAGACCTTTCAATGGGGTTTGCTTTTCTGCTTAGCAAACCACTTAGCAAAAGTATTAAAAAAATTAAACATTACCTTCTTAGAATCCATTATAATGTTAAGCTGCTAACAAGGCAGCTAGTGGCAGATTTCTGATCATTGGTCTCTCAGTAATTAACAATTGGCTTTCTTGTATTAAACCCCAACATTGCATAATTAATTCTTTCCTTTTTACTTGATCCCTATTGCACAATTTATCTATATCTTACTTTGAGAATGGCACAATTTCCAAGTAAAGTTTTACGTTTTCTCCGTGAAACAAGGAGAAAAATGTACAAGTGATCAAAACAAGTCTGTTTGTACACGTTCAGAAATCAAATTTAACTATTATAAATAACAGATAAGCAAGATATTGCAAAGCTGACTGACACTGTGTTTAAATTGAACTTTCAGATGCAAAAGGTAGTACCTATTAAAAAATTCACTATTGTTTTGAAGTAAAATGTCATACAAAAGAAATAGTGAGTTAAAAATATTAAACCTCTTTTGAATCACAGATCTTCAGGAACCAAATAAAAATTTTGCTCAAATCACCTCATTTGTGTGAGTTGTCCCCGTCATCCCTAAAAAGCTATGATACTGGAATGATCTGGGCCATCAAAGCAAGCAAGCTAAGGTTTTAGTTTGACATTGTGAAGCGTTGAGCTGCAATGCTAGACAAGACTTAACCACCCTTCCTGCATCTTCTGCTGGTTAGATACTGGAGGGTGATGGCAGCAATACTACAGGCTGAAGCTGCTCTTTAACACTTCATAATATCAAACTGGAGCCTCAGATAAACGGCTTTGCTCACATTTAAGCTCAGGCTCAGGGCATGTCCAGTGACAGCTTCCTGTAAATCAAATGATATCTGGTAACAGCAGATTCTCCAACAGCTTGTTTGTGTCTGAGCTTTTGTTAACAATACTTGCTTTCCAAAAACAATTACATAATGAAACTAGCCAAGCAATGTTATGTTACAGCCTTCCTAAATCAAGGCAGACAAATAAAGGAATAGCAACCCTACACACAAAACCACTGGCTACATCAATTACTTTTTTTTTTCATATCCTGATGAACCAAGCGTAAGACTGGATAACAAAGGGACACACAATATACTTTCTCTTGTTTCAAGTAAAATGTAAATGAAAACTTATAGGCAGCCTGCGTATTGTCCAATTTCAGACATCTGTATGTTTTCTATAATATACAAACTGATAGAAATAAACCATCTCCTATTTTTGATCAATTAATAGAAGTTACTAATATAACACTAATATATTTCTAAGAGAATACATAAATATATAATTGTACATGCTTTTTCAACTCAACTTAGTTAGCATGTATTTCATAAAGCAATGCTTGGTTATAGACAAAACCATCTAATTTTCTAATAGAAGACTGACACCTGGATGCAAACATCTTAAATCCTGTGAACCTTTTACGGCAAGTCCAGTATAATTGTTAAACACGTGAATTTTTGCCTTTACCAGATAATTGTATAGCTATAACTTTCCAACTTATTTTAGACTGAGAGGTAGCAATGAGTTTAAATTAGCTTTTTTTTAAAAAAATCCTCAGACTATTTTTATGGGAGCTTTCTGAAGTAATAGATAATCTCCTGAATTGCTCCAGTGACAAGGGCTCAGGCATTAATGAAAAATGGTTCAAAGAAAAAACAGCTGAAAATCTGAAATTTGATCATGGATTCTCTGTGTAGCAGTGGGATGTTCATCATGCCTCTAGTTACAGCAATGCTCCCCTCAGCATTCCACCAACCATACTGAGGTAACGATGGGTGATGTGGGTGGAAATGGTCTGAGCTGTTTTTCAGTTGTACTATGTTGGAATGTATTTTTAATTAAATTGGATATTTCTAAAAATAAAAGTTTGAAACCATTATTATAGGAGAATGCTGAAGTTGTGAAAAGTTGAGCTTTTCCAAGTAAAAAAAAAAAAAAAAATCCAGAATTGACACTAAAAGGTAAGTTTACTTTAGTTTCTTCTTGTCTGATCATCGTAAAGCAGTCTTTATCTAAATGACACATTATTCAATGTCCAGGACCCCAAATCACATGTAAAGAATACTAGAACTGCAACTCAGCAAAAAGTTTGATTATGTCACTGCCATATTTCCATTATATAAAATTACTCAGGAATGTAATAATGCCTAAGTGCAAGAGTCCACATTGAGGCAACGCTGACTTTCATTTTGTCATTTGCTGATTATTAAGTTCTCTTTGCCAGATTAATATTTTCTTAATAAGATTTTTGTTATGTAGCAGAAAAGTTATGTATAGTGCCTTACAAAGTAAGAAGAGCTCTTATATTGAGTACCTTAGAATCTAGTACTCTAAATAATGTACTTCTGATAAACTTGTCAAAACCATTAAAAACTAACGGTATTGATAAATTCCTTAAAAACACTTCTTCACGTTCCAGAGTTCTTTTTTACTTAAAATTTAAGCTTCATCAAATGAGACTGCTTACTTAATCTAAGAGTAATAAGCTGTTTAAAAAAAGTCTGGTGTAAGAATACAGATTCAGACTACAACATTTGAGTTTTCAACACAGAAAATGTCTATTGTGACAGTTGTTCTGAGAGAGAGATTACTATTCTATCTATGCACTTACTATATATGCAACAGGATTATTACATAATTATGCATCCAAAAAGTAGTACCTTATGGGATCAAGAAAAGAAATTATTTTGCCCAAACAATTTCTTAAATTATTGTTCACAAATGAAAATTTTGAGAATTGCTGGTCCAAAGAGTCTTCCAGAATTTTGAGCTACCCTGCAAAAGGGTATTTATTTAAACTACAGCACTACATTTTGCTTTTGCTAAAGAATATATAGGCCACCTTACAAAAGCTAAGCATGGCATTTAATTGACAACATTTTATTAATGCCTTGGACACTACTTAGAGCCTCTTTAGCCTGCCATTAATGTTACTGGCCGTTGTAAGAATTCTACACAATCCCAACATCTGAATCTGTTGGCTGTAAAAGAAAGTCAAGTGCTTAAAGTGTCATCAGTATCCAAGTGCAATAAGCAAAAGCACAGTAAGTGCAACACAGCTTAGCCAGTCAACAGATCTTTGTCTGCATGAAACTCTTCTGTACCACAAAAAACACTATAAATGACACCAACCTTCTGTTTGTCCAGTATCTTCATAGCGTAATACTGTTCTGTGGATTTATGTTTCACCATCATAACTCTCCCAAATGATCCTGTTCCAAGGGTTTTTTGCCTCTCAAAATCATCTAGGCCAGCTGTATTCTACATGTACAAGGATATAACGACATTATTTACAATCTAATAGCCAAAAACAATTTTAACTGTATGAATTCAATTCATTTATGAAAGAAAATTGACTAAAATTACATTTATCAAGGACAACTATAGAAAACTATGCTCTTGGTATAATTTCATGCCTGTCATTTTAAGATGAGATTTAAAATTGCACTCATTAAAACAGAAGAAGACTTAACTGAATTCTATCAACATTTCTATAATTTGCCCATACAGATGACACATGCTTAGTAAGAAACATATAGCAATAAACAGATGATGAGTTTAACATGCAGATAAACAATCCCCTCATGTTTCATGAACAAGACTACCCGAACAGGCAAAAAACCTCAAGCTCTAGACACAGTTCTACATGAGAGTTGTCTGGAGAACGTATTGCTGAGTAAATCTTCTCAGATATTCATTACCATAGAATTTCAAATGCAACTTTAAAAACAACAATGAGCCTTCCCCCAAAACCCAAACCCCCAAGCTTGACTTTTAAAAGATTTTTCTCTAACAAGCTCCTTAACCTGCTCCCAAGCCCCATGCAGCAGACTTAATACCCTTAATTCCCCTTAATATCATGGGGGAAATCATTAATGGGGTAAATTACAGATGTGCCAATGCTTAGTGTTATAAAAAGCGAGTTAGAACATGCCAACAGGTTTTGCGTCTTGCCACATTGATGGTGAACACCATTCACAGTAAGATAAACCTGTTCAGTATAAGCATTTCATCAGCTCAAATCTGGAGAAGACCTGAGAGTCTTTGCTGATGAACTTAAAATGACAAAACTGACATTAGAAATGGAAACTCCTTTAAAAATTGCATTGAACTTACTTCTGTTTTCTGTGCTGCTCATTACAGACTGATAACACTTGGATAACATTAAAAAAAACCACTAAAAAAAACTGCAATAGAGAAAATTATTGCATGCTTAAATGACATGATACCTGAGGTGGGCTTTCCCATTTTCTTAGAAAGTCTTCTTTGGCTTTGGCTAGGAACTCTTTCACTGAAAACACACAAAAAGGGTACATTTTAATTAATGTAATTCATCATGGATGCAATGGAAATGCTTTGTTAACAAAATACGTAAACTTCATTATCAACTTCTTTCTTCAACTCGTAATATGCTATTTTCACCATGTATGAAAGCAAGCACCAATGCCTCTAAATTCTACAGTATCTCCAGGTGACTTCTAAGCTTTCTGGAGTAACTACATCATTCTACACAAATTACTTAACTACACCAGCTCTAATAACTCACAATACCGTATATGCAAGCAGGCTTTAGGGTGATGTAAGATGTTCTTAATTCAACTGGGAAAAAGCCACAAACACCTGACATTTACAAACAGCCATTCCACAAGGATAGACTTTTTGTCTATTTTTGTTAAATAAAAGTTACATTTTCTTTCAACTAATTGAGCGTAATGTCAATCTCATTGCTTTTTCCCCATCACCTTTATTTAAAGGCTGTTTGCAAGCTCAAGTACCAAACGGACAGCATTACTGCAAGCAAAGACAAAGCACAGGGCTACAATGACACTGCACATTAGGCATGCCCACAGTCAGAGAATGTGTATTTTTAATATTGATTTTCCATTGAAATTGAAGGAACTGAATGACAGCAAAATTCTGGATGACTGTTTAAAATGTGCACAACAAAATTTGTTCAGATCATCTCTCAGCTGTCCTGTATTCTGAATATCAGTTATCAGCCAGATCAATGCAGATTACTTAATGCATAGTCACAAACAAGAGGTGTTTCAGACATCGCCGTGGTTCTGAGTGTTACAGAATCAAGAAGAAAATACCATACTGTGTTTGTGTTCTCTCTATCATTTCACATAATATAATAGTGGATCTTCTGTACTGTGACGTTCCGCCATGAGCAACTTCTAAAAATATTCAGGAATGTGCCAAGATTATTCTGGTCACTATCTAGAAATATGTTTTAGCAACTGTATTTTACTTTCTGATGGTTGTAAGAAATTAAGTTTATAAGGGGTTGTAAACAATCTGATGAATCAGAACCTTTTTGTACTTTTCAGAGAATACTAGCATCTACACAGAGAACTTTTAAAAAAATTCTCTTGTCACTCTTCTATTACTGGTACAGTTATAGCAACAGTAAAAACAGTGGCAGCCCTGGAGAAGGTTTGTCATTAATTTTTTCCTTTCCTTCCCCCTCGCCTTCAAGTGCACTATGGGCCTCAACTTTATCACCAAATACTCAAGGGAGGTTTACGGCTCCCACCACCACTGGCTCTGATGGAGCAACATCAATATAATGGAAATTAAAAAAAAATTGTCCAAACTTCTGACAGACCTCAAGGTTAGAAAAGTGTTTAAAGCATGATATCCACTCAATAATTTTATTTTAAGAGAAACAAGCAATATCAGTAAGGAGGAACATATTTATTACCCTAAACTTATGGTTAAGTAGAGTAAGAAAAACACTGTTTGTATCAAGGGAACTATTTTAAATTGCCATTAAAATTTACTGAAAGTTAAAAATATTTTAATGGGTAATTAGTAAAATGTTTGACATATTTATCCTGTGTGGGGAAAATATTTCCATTGTTTTTAAATTATGGGGGTTACTCATGTAATGACTTATAATGATCCTAATTTGAGAAAAGGACAGGATTTCCTGTTGCATGAAATAATTTCTCAACACAAAAAAGGGAAGCTAACAATGTCCAAATTCATGCCTGATGATCCTTCTTCCATTAGGAGAACAGAGAGACTTGATAAAGTGATGACTACTGATAAAGTTTTAAAAACATCAATTTATGTCAAAGTAACACAAACATTATTTTCTTTTAATGACAAGAAAAAACCTAAGATGATCATTAAGATTACCAACAAGCTGAGCCTTCAAACTTAAGTGGCTATAGCTTAAGAAATGAAAGTTAAATTTAACATCATATAGCACAACCAAAACATGAAATAATTGGTTTCATTTTTTTCATGTTATTACAGTACATCTTAAATATCCCTCATGCTATCTCCATTGTTCACATAAATAAATATTTGAAGTCTCCACATATTTTGCACTGAATTATAACTATTCAATATTTCTAAAAATGTATCATGACATTTACATGTAGTCATCTTTGTTCTACTTGTGGAAGAAAGAATGCTGTTTATGAAAAAAAAAAGCTATCCAGCTGGAAATATTCAAATTGTGGAAGCATGAGGAAAATATCTCATTTCTAGAACATCACTAAGCCACAAGCTCGCCTTCAACAGAACTTATACTTTACTTTCACTCTATTTTCCTGGAAAGCAATATTGAAAATGTATTTTCAAAACAAAGCTACCTAGTGGCACTTACATATCTTAAAATCGCTATCATATTCTGTTGTGTGGTTTATTCAAATTACTGAATAATGAGAAAGTGGGTCAAATTGTGCCTAGTTCTCATTTTCAGAAGTCACCTGGGCTCCTACTCCACAACGCAATTCAGCAGGTGATTTCAAATAGATTTTAGGCAACTCGAGTGCATACGTTTCAGTCACTTCTGAAAACAGGACTTAGAATTTGAAACAGGATAGGTACTTTTGAAAATTATCTCTCAATCACAAAACATTAGCCCTTACTATGGGTGAACACATTTAATTTCTACTTTTCAAGTGCACAACCAATATTTGCACCAACTGGATCGTAGTGGCCATTGGTACTATTGTGATGATGCAAAAAATTAGATGATGGCTTATAAGTTTTCTTCAAGTGCACATTTTTAGCCACTTTACATCGTTACAATGTGACTCCTGTTTGCTTTTCTAGTCTTTAAACTGTTCCTAGAGTCTGACTTTGGGCACTAATGAAGGAATGAGCATACCAAAAGTCTCTATAGGTTCCCCAAGGGTTTGCAGGAACATTCACCCACACAGATGAGATGGAGAGAGGAAAGAAAGAGAAGAAGAAAAAAAAAGTTTTATGCATTTCCACAACAAACACATAGAAAACACAAATACATTCCACCCTTCCCCCTCCCCACTCAAGAACGGACCCTGTAATAAACCAGTCCTTTCCCACACAGACAGAATGACTCATGCTAAATCACAGAACGTTTGAGCAAAGAAAAGAGAAAAAAACCCAAAGACAGCTAAATTCAGTATGAAAAAAAGATGATGCATCACAGAAATAAGCACAGCTTACAAAACTTCAGGAGATCAAGTTGGCATCTTTAATAATTATTCTATTCCAAGATGCACACATCCAAGGAACTATTGCTAACAAAAGTGTATCTATCTTCATTGCGGCGTGCTGGATCGCAATAAAACCTGTAATCCGGTGATCTTCCCACTACTTAGCGCTTTGCTCCAAAAGACAGCATGTGTGAATTGCATGGCATGTGGTGGATAGCACGGAAATGGCAAGCAGTCTCCAAAAAAGTTTCACAATCAAATTTCAGTCCTGTTACCCAAAAACAGCCACAGTCCCCCTTGAAAAGTCTGAACTGCACAGCTGAAGCTGCTGCGTGCAAGCTGGAATGCATACGGGAATCCTGTAGGGTCGCCATACAAGTATAGTTTTATTTTGTAAGACTGTCAAAAAAAAGAACCCAAGAAAGAGATGTTGCTATACAGGTTCCCGTAAGCACTGAAGAGCAAGCTCATATATGGCTGAGCCAAGGGAAGATAAGGATGCAAGGAGTGTGTGCAAGGACCAGCAAACAGACTCTATTCAGACTGGTTTCACTGGTACAGCAGAAGTTGGAGCAAAGAAGCCTGAAACAAAAGGAAGAAAAGCTGCTCCTCAAGAAAGGAAGGTGCTGGAAGGAGAGGGCAACACAGGAGTAACAGCACTGGCACAATGAGGGCCACAGCAGTGGTCAAAACAACTGGAAGCCTGAGGAAGGACACCGGCTGCAACTGGAGAGGATGCACAAGTAGTCCAGAGATTAGGTAAGCACAGACACACAGCACAAACGCAGCTCTTCATGACCAGCAAGAGCAATTGTTGGCAGGAGAAGCAAGTTATGCAATGCAAACACCCAAAGCATATAGTAGTACATCTGGGGAGATTCAGAAAAATGTAGTAAGAAATGGGGTAATGGCCAAGGAGTTACAATGGAAAGAATTGAAGCAGTTTTATAACTTCTGCCTGCTTCAGTTCAAACCCTGGTCAGAAGAAATGCTACAGGTGCACACACAGCTGGCCAAACTATAAGCTACCCCCTTGTGTATCACAGATGGCCTGAGACTGGGCCCGCAGAGATCTGTACTCAGAACCAAGGCAACATGGCGATAAGCTGGCACGTCTGCTGGGAGAGACTTCTAAGGGAAGTGGAACTCCAGATCAAGAGGTTCCTCGGTAATACTGGCATACAAAGAAGTATTTAAAAAAACAAAACCACAAAACAACAAAAAACAAGCAAATGAAAAAACCCTACCACACACAAAACCAGAAAAACCCTGAACTCACCCCCAAACAGCAGATTTGTTATCAAACAGTGTATTCACAAAACGCATGATATTTTTGTTTTATCAATTAACTTTCCTATGAAAAGTTAGCAAGCTTATAAAAAACTGTTAACAAATGGTTTATGAATACTATAAAGAGTACTCTGGCCTCAAACACAGTTGAAGAGTGAGTGAATCAGAGGAAAGCTCCTGAAAAGAAATTAAAAGGTTTAGGACCTCTCAGTTGCAGGGGTGCAATGACAGCACAGGGAAAGGCTCCATCTGTGGATGCAGCAGTCCTGAAGAGTTACCATGAATTACTTTGCCTTTCTCCCACCTCCCACATGCACTGTATTTGTTATTCTCAAGCACATCTCCCACAAGAGCCAGCAAGCCAGAATTTTTTTTTTTTTGTTAAAAAAAAAAAGAAGTATTTGGATAGGATTCATGGCAAGAAAGCAAGAACTAAACTGATTAAGACTAAACATTGGGCACCACTACAAACCCCCATCTGCTGTGCTAAATGCCAATCTCTGCTTGGTATTTAAAATGCCCTTTATCAAAATACAATTCAATTTCTGCTCCAAAACTGCAATATAATCACTTGAAGTCTGGGCTATTTAATCAAATCCTCAAATTTCCTTTAATGGAAAAAGGAATACGTATGAAGATACTCCGGTAAATATATGTGTATATTTCATTTTTATAAAAACAATGTTTATAGCCTTAAACATTATCGAGATGTATATAGTTGCCTCAGTGAAACCTGTGGTTACGGTACCACATTTCAGAAGCAAGTGGGAAGCGTACAATTCAAGTTCTAAGTTCCACCCTTACACCAATAACCTGTTATCTTAAATATCTTTAAATTTCTCTTTTGATTAGCAGGAAAAATATCACAAGGCTTACAAGGTTCTTCTACCCTGGCAAGTCTTTGAAAATAAACACAACTAAGTGTTAACACACTCGAAGGATGTAGCGTGAACACCAGTTAATACTTTCGAAGCTGGGAAGAACTCTTCAAGACACAAACTAATGAAAACGGTATCATTGAAACAGACCATAAACAAGAACAAAACACTTTGGTTCTCACAATATGAAAACAGCAGGGGAAAAAAGTCCAGAGTGATATAAGCCTGGTACAGAGCAAGTCAATCTTGTCTTAACATTGCAATGAGATGTGCTTACTGGCTCTCTTGTGAAAAACCAACCGAGAATTTTGTCTTGTTTCCGCTCTATGAGATGCAAAGTCACAAAGGCTAAATTAATAAACTCTGCATCAATTTAGTATCTCATTTATCCAGTCTTTTACTTTGAGAGCAAGGTTTTGATTTTATATTTCTGTTTAAACATTAATTACGTTAAAAGCTAGTGATGCAGAACAAAGCAACTTACTCAGCTGCAATGGATAAGAACCTTCAGTTAAAAAAAAAAAAACAAAACCCAAAACATACACAGCAGTTCCGAAAGAGCTCATTTGCTGGAATACAAAACCTAAAAGTTCTCAATAAAAAAAAAGGATCAAGAATTAACTGCATACCAGTTTGCTATTAAAAAGGGAGTGCTATTAATTAATCTACCTGCACATTGTAAACACTTCTGTGGAATACTGGGAAAGACTGGTAAGAAGCGGAGAAGAGAAGGTCACGGAAAAATGATGGAGAAAAAGGGAGAGGAACAGGATAAACAGTAAGTTAAGAGCAATTACAGCTGCAGTGCCTAAAGACTAGAAGAGAGTATTAGAACCTGATTTTTGGGAGAGCACATTCAGGAATTAATTTATAATGTATAGCAACTGTAAAATACAAATTGTTCTCATCCATTACAAGTCAAAATTTGTAATGCAGGCAGAACTTTCTTTTATTTCTGTCCACAATTTTGAAGTATTGAGCTAGACAGTATTTTGCCAGTCTTATAAAAGCAGATTCGCAACAGTTAAGAGAACTTTTAATCTTCTTGTTTTTCCTTAATTTTCAGTGCTACAGGCTATAACTTTAAGTTGTAAATTAAACAAAGCTGAAGTCTTACTTAATTTTCACCTCTTTACTTGGCTAGCTAGACAGCAATAGCCTGCATAAGAGGTGTGACAGATTTAGACAAACCAAAACAGGAGTTGGGTTTTCAGCTATCAGAGTAATACATATCTTTATCTACTGTTCAAAATTCAACACTCTACTGCATACAACTGCCACAGTCAGACTGACCTTCTTCTTCCTTATTCTATTTTTATTAGAGATAATAGAATCAATTTTATTTCCAAACCCAATTTTCAGTCTTTCCCCCCTATTCGTTTTCTTTAATCATAACATACTGGTCCAAACAGAGGCAGTGAACCCTGCTAATGCCAAAAGTACAACATAACAGAGACCACTCTGGGGAGACAGAAGCAAACCTTACTAACACAAAGTCACTTAAAATGTGAATCCCTGAAATTTCATTTAAAAACCACCAAACGTATAATGTACATCATTAAATTTATTCAGTCACAAACATAATCAAGTCCTGTACTACCTCTGCTCAGCAGAGTTTTATGTGTTTGTATGTCCCAATTCAATCATTTTCCAGAAAAAAAGATAAAACTCTGCTTTCTTAATCCAAAACAGAATCCAGACCACATCAAAATTTATAAATTTATATACTCCATTTAAAAAAGTGACTCCTCCCTCCAGACACACACCGATAAATGCCACATTTTCCAGTTACATCAAAAGCCTCTTCCTCTCTGCCAAAACACCCAAAACAACCAACCAAAACCTATGAACCAAGCTGGGATTTATTATTCAAATCCTAAATTATTGATTATATGCAAGACTTCAACACAGACAAGCAGAATAGCTTCATCTGAACATCCAAGCACAGGATGTGCTAATGTCTCCTGCAGATTCCCGGTGAGCAAGAGCTGTTCCATTCCTTCAGGTCTTTTGGTCCTTCAGGTTGGCACCTCTCTTTCTTGCCCAAGCCTTCCTTTCAAATTAAAACATTATTAGCAACATCTTATTGATTGATTAGAGTTGATTTTTTGTTCCAGCTCTCTAAAACAACCAGTTAGAACTTGCATACAGTTAGTTCTGTAGTATGTTAAAACTAAGCTTTGGCCTAAGGAAAGGAGTCTCCTTCATACCTCCTTCCACCTTGAAGTGTTCATTGAAGGGAATTATTCCAGACTGCCAGAGACAACACATTTGTAAGTCTGCTGCTTCTCTTGCAACAGCCCACGTGCTTTAAGGCTTAAAAGTCCAATAAATAGCAGTTTGGTTTGTTAGGCTGCAGTTCGGTGTTCAGTATGGGCTGGTATAAATACCAAAACCCCCAGTCTTGTCCTTCCACAGTCACTGCCTCTCTATCATGACCTTCCTTGAAAGAGCAAAAGCATCTTTGTGGCTGACTGCCAAGCCAGGTAGGGAATTAGGCCAGATTAAAAAGTACTGGTCAGAAGGCAGGG